CCTTTTTCCAACCATCATCTGTTCTGCTGTGCCGAGAGATTTAGATTAGCTAGGAAGCAGGAAATGGTTGGATTTCTTGCTTTCTAGCTAGTCTTTAGATCTTCGGCTCAGCACAGCCAAACCTCCCTTAGGACTGAAGGTTTGCTTGCAAGCAAATTCAGTGCAGGCTCACAGCAAGCAAATTTGAGAGACTGAGCTAGCTGATGGCAGATAGATAGATCATTGAATGATTCTGTGAGCAACTCAATCTGCCTGCTTTGCCTGATTTTGGGGTAATAGTTGCTCTTTTTTAATAAAAAAATTCAATATTTATATAAATATTTATAATATTTATATACAAGCCATGCCCAGCCAGTTACATGACCACCAAGCCACACCCACAAATTAGGCCATGCCCACAGAACCGGTTCGTGGTCCCTGGGATCTAAAATTACGAGTTTGGTGGTCACTGAGGTCCAAAAGGTTGGCGACCCCTGCTCTAAAAGGATGCAAATGACCAGCTGTCTGCAAGGAATATAAATCCTTCCATTCCCCACTATCCTGTCAGAGTTGAAGAAGCTTCTTGGATGAAAAGCGAAATGTCTTCAAAGACAAAACAAGAAAGTCCAGTTGCCTCCTGAAAAAAGTACCTTTGGTACAGCTTTGACGTTTTTTCATACAGTAAATCAAAGCACTCCTGGCTACAGGAGAAAATATGTAACCCATTTTTTGTTTGTTTGTTTTATTCCTCTCTTATTTTTTCTACACATTTTATTTCCAGCACGATTTCTGCTTCTCATTTCACAGGAAGAAATAACTTTCCTGGGTTTTAGAACTTCTGTTGGATTTGTTAGACGTTGGATTTATTAAATACATCAGTTGATATAAATGTATTTTACTGTCAAGCTATAGTGAAAATTCTACTACTCATGTGCTACTGACAAGTGCCATATAATACTGTTGGAAGCCTGGGCTGGATTAATTGCTCCTGACATTGGTTCCTCCTAGGCTGAGTCATGATTATGCACAAGTACACAGGCATTTCTTGTGCTACTAGCCAGCCAGGGATCAAGCTTGATGTAAAACCTTACTTTTTTCACCACCAAATTGCATTTTGTTGGATAGGGTCCAGCGTTCAAGTCTTGTCAATATCTTTCTGGATCTTGAGCCTATCTTCTAAAGTGTTAGTTATCCCCCCCCCCCTCAGCTTCATATCATCTGCAAATTATATGAGTTCCTCTTCTATTCCCTCATCTAAATCATTTATGAAAATGTTGGAATAGCATTGGGCCTAAGACAGACCTTTGAAGTACAGCATCACATGCTTCCCTCCGTATAGATCTAGTTCCATTGAGGTCTACACATTGAGTGCGGTTGGTCAGCCAGTTATGAATACATCTGACGGTGATGCTGTCTATCTCATGTTTTTCTATCTTGGCCTCTGCCAAGAGAGTCCAGAAATCCAATAAACAAGGAACAATAAAAAGGACAAGAAACACAAAGAGGTGGAATCCAGAATTCCAAAGATAATACATCGCAGCAAGGTAAAGGCAACATAACTGAGATTTACAAAATCACGTGCCTACCATCCCTATCCTATTGTTTCTTTTTATTTTTCTTATACGTATCCATTTCATGTATTCATAACTATGTTTATACTTATACCTATTATCTTGTAAGCAAATAAATTTAAAAAAATGTCTTTGTACAGAATGAAATGAATAAATGAGCCAAACTGGGCCTCTACCCAAATGTCCAGCTGAAGTACTATTAGACTCTGCTCTCCTTCTGACCCACTTTTTGGCTAGCCTGGCTGCCATGAAGAGCTGTTGCTGGATCTTTAAAGCTCTCCTTTGCTTAAGACTGGAGGTTTGAAGTTCATGCCTGAGAGGCTGTTAGTGGGTGCAGACAGGGATACTGGCTTTACCTCACGCAGAGGCATTGGTTTCACCTTCTGCAAATTATCCCTAGATGTCCTTGGCTCTTAATTGCCCTTCTTCAGAAGACAAGTCAAGCAAGACCATAAAAAAGCACTAGTTTTACAGCTGACAATTGTCATGGTGTTTTAGGAATAAACCATGGTTTTCAACAGTTTGGATTAATGAGAGTAAGCATTAAAAATTGATGCACATTTGTAAATGCCACAGCTGAAGATGAAAAAGCATAGCATTAAACTGATTTTCTTGCTTCAAAGAAACCTTGAACTCTCCACGTTTCTGAATATTCTATTCTTGGCAAAATAAATGTTATTTTAATTAGCATCCTTTTAACATAGCCATGCATGTTTTCTAGTCTACTAGGAGCATAACTAGAATTGGGGACTAATGCAAATGTTCGAGATTCAACAGCATTTTCACATACTATCTACAGGCTTTAAATTTTTTTAAAAAATCATGACATAGCAGGCAACTGCTGAAAAGAAAGATTCAATACTTTTAACTGATGGAAAATTCTATACACCCAGCCCAACTGGAACATTTTATCCTTCATGTAAATTGCTATAAATCATTTTTGTTGTTTTAATCATTGTGCTAGGAGACAGTCCTAGTTTGCAAATAGTGGCCTCACCTTGATAATATTTATTGTTACTTCATTGCATGGCAGGTCAAACAAGTGTCCTGTGAATTTTCTACCAAGGGATCTTAAAGTAGCCTTCAAACCTGACTACCTCTTCTGTTTATTAGTTTTTACTGGGCAAAAGATTTTTGTTTGTTTCTTTCCCAATTGGCTTGCAATGTTAGAAAATCAGCTTGAGTTGCAATGAACTTACATCTGTTTTCAGTTTTGATATTCATCATTTGGATATTCCAAAACAAATAATACATTGTAGTTGAAGTGCATGTAATTAATTCTGAGTTGATTTTATTTGAACAGTTTTATTTCAAAGATTTATATGATCACCCAACTCAGAAGTTGATACTGCATGATAGCTTATAAACTATATATTACAAGCTGAACAAGAAACATAAGTCTGGAACTACATTTTTAGGGAGCAGGAGTGAGCTAATATTCCTCTATCATAATTTGTGATTTGTAATTTGGATAAAAGAAACTATTAATTTCTCTCTGGTACATTAGCATGTCAGAGGGAGGGCAGACAATGGGGACACTGGGGGGGGGGATAGTCTCAAGGATAGTCTCAAGGACAGTGTTGTGGTTAGCTGGCAGCAGGTGTGGACGGCTGAGGAGAGCGAGGACTCAGATGATGGGCCAGGACCATTAGGATAGTGGACTGCTGCCTTCAGAGATTGTGGGGGCTGCGATGAGGTTCCCGAGGAGCGTGTGCCAAGTGTACAGGATTGCTCGCAGGAAAGAACAGCTATAACAGCACGGGCAACTCGGGAGTAAGGCTGCAAGGTAATGGCCCCTCCTTCAAGAAGATAAAAGGCAGCTGTGCAGTGAACGTTCTTTGTAGGAAGCAAAGACGTTTTGAAACTTAGCCTCGTGGACATTACTGTTGGTATTTGAAGACTCTTGTGTTGTAAACTATTTCTTATCTGTTGTTTTTTGGCAGCCTTGCAAAAACTTGGCAAGGCTCTTTCTTGTCGGAGCTAATTAGTTAGAAGCAGCCTTTTATCTGTGAAGAAACAGGATTCATGGATGAAACATTAAAAGATTGTGCTGCTGCCTTTGTCTTGGAACCAGGTTTGGGTCAGAACAATGGGGAACCTGATGATGGGAAGTAGAACATGGGATGTCTTAGGGGGTGGGGAAAGACTGAGGCAAATGGGCCTGGGCCTGTGCCCATTTCCTCACCCCTGAGGCACCCCATGTTGTACTAAACGACCCACACAGTCATTTAATAACCACATCAGAGAAAGCAGGAGATGGGATCGTTGAGCAAGGTGATCTTATCTAACAACCATTACAACATGTGACCATAATGTACAGGCTCCATTATGGTCAGAGGTTGAGGACTACCTATATAAAGTTACTTTGAACCTCTGTTGGAAATGTGAACAATACAAAGGGACTTTCCATCATGTTTAGTGGATATGTAAAAGAGCTGAAAAGATTGGATACAAATACATTAATTCAGGACTAAAGTATAATAAAAACAAGAGGTTTTTCTTTGGGAACTAATGAACAGTTAACTAGAAAAATGACATGGACTTTTATTTTTATATATGACATGTGCAGCAAGATTGGTAAATGGTCAAAAGTGGAAAGGTTCGACACTACCCACAAGACAGGAATGGCTGGTTAAGATGATAAACTTTTCAGAGCTGGTTAAATTAATTTCTTTGATTAAAGAAAAAAGACAATATGTACATTTATGGCTGACTGGAAGCCCTTTACAGACTTTTTTCATGAAACAGAATAATGGCTTGTGGTTTTGATGATTAGGAAAAAACAGATAATTGAAAAAAGTGAGCTTTTTGTAAAGTAAGCAATGAGTAAACAAGCAAATATCCATATTTATATTTCCTGCAAAGGAAATTGGAAGCTTTTTTCTATTCCTATTCTTTTCTTTCTACATTTTTGTCTTTTCTTTTTCCTTTTTCTCTTTCTCTATCTTAATTTATGTATTAGTTTGTGTTAGTTTTAGTGTTCTCTTTAAAACATTAACAACATTTATATTAAAAGAAAAAGAGTGATTGTATTTGCAAGTGCTTTCTCCTCCCTCCCTCCATAGATGAGACAAATACTCTTCAGTTTCAAATGGCTCTCCCCCCATTTCTTGGAGTATGAAGATTTTGTTTAGAACTCCAGATAAGTTCGCTCTGACTTTTCTCGCGCCAAAATACTGTAGTTAGGAGTTTAATTACAAGGTGGCTTTTCAAATTTCAAAATACAGCTTTTCTTTCTCTTGGCTTTTTGCTATGTGGTACACATGAATGGTCTTTATTGAAGTACAGACAATGATGTAGAATGTAAACCTCCTCCGCACTTCAAACTCAGGTTGAGGTAACTGCTCCACCATCTTAAGTCCGCTCTCTGAGAGTGTATTCAAACTTAACAGCTTTCCTCCACACATAAATCTCTAAGCTTCACTCCTTGTCCTTGTGCTTGTGTTACAGGTTATGGCCACACTGTGCCTTTGTCAGATGGAGGAAAGGCCTTCTGCATCATCTATTCAGTTATTGGGATCCCCTTTACCCTGCTCTTCCTGACAGCAGTGGTCCAGCGCATCATTGTTTATGTCACCAGGCGGCCTGTACTGTACTTCCACATCCACTGGGGCTTTTCGAAGCAAATTGTGGCCATCATCCACGCAGTGGTTTTGGGCTTTGTGACCGTCTCATGCTTTTTCTTTATCCCAGCAATAATATTTTCTGTCCTGGAAGATGATTGGAACTTTCTGGAATCGTTTTATTTTTGCTTCATTTCTCTTAGCACCATCGGCCTTGGCGACTACGTTCCAGGAGAAGGTTATAACCAAAAATTCAGAGAGCTATATAAAATAGGAATTACGTGTGAGTAGCAAACGATCACTCTGGCAAGGAAAAAGGCCTTAACAACCTTTTATACTATATAACTGCAGAAACAAAAAATTGTTAATGAGATTTTTGAAACTCTCATTGAAGTTCTGCTTTTTGTTTAATGTGTAATTTACATTTTATAACTAATTGCTATAGAAGCTGTACAGTAGTCCTTGACTTGTAACCATTTATTTAGTGACTATTCAAAGTTATACTGAAAAAGTTGCACTAAGAAAAGTGACTTAAGATTTATTCACACTTAATGACCGTTGCAGCATCCCCATGATCAAAATTCAAATGCTTGGCAATTGGCATGTATTTATGACAGTTATAGACCATGTGATCACCTTTTGCAACCTAAGAAACAAAGTTAACGTGGAAGCCGAACAACCATGTTATTAACTGCAATGATTCACTTAACAACTGTGCCAAGAAAGGTTGCAAAATGGGTAAAGCTGATTTAACAATTGTCTTGCTTAGTAATGGAAATTTTGGGCTCAATTGTGGTTGTAAGTCAATGACTATCTGTATATTCTCATTCTTGCAAGCAAAGTTAACCAGTCAGATATTACTAAATGCAATCAAGCTCTTATAAATGATTCATAGAATAGTTATAAACTGTCTCTTTAACAATTAACAATTAAATAGAGCCACTATACTCAAGAAAGTGTTTGTGTGTCACCTCAAAGTTAGATGTATCATCAACCACTTCAAAGTTAGATGTATCATCCTCCAAACATTTATGTCAAATACTAATTTTTACTGTGACAAAAAGCAACTAGATATTCAGCTTTTTGACTTTTATTCCTTATCTTAAAGTACATTTTCTTACATGTGCTTATATTCTTAATATTTACAAGGTTAATACAGTCTTTCAGAGAGTAGAGTAGATCACTCCAAATACTTCTGATTTCCTATCACTCTTTGTAACGTAATCTTATCATGTTTTAAAATACTTTATTACATGTTTATATAGCTTCTATCTCTTAGTTTTCAGCAGGTGTTGCATAAATAGGATAATGGGGTATTTAAATTGAAACTGTAGGTAATATAACAGTGAAACCCAGCCTTTTGTTGATTGCAATGATTAAAATGATATTTTTAAACTTACATATAGTTCCAAATTTATATTTAATTAGCAAGAGTATTATTGTTGATTGTATAACTCTTGTATTATACTCTGATTGTATAACTAATACTCTAAAACTCCATATTGATCTACTTTCAGGAGAGGGAGATATCCAAAGTAGCTTTTACATGTTAGTCAAATCCCATTATAAATGAGAGCTATTCAAGCCTTATTTATGTTTGATAATTATGTTAGTCAGTACACAAGATGGTGTACAATTCTGCTTAAGAGTCCTACTGTTTGATTTAAGTCTTTCAGAATGTGGGAGGTTTAATGGGGACATGTGAAAGGACTGTGCATGGCATGGGCATTAAGAGCTTCTGGATTAGCAATTAATCCTTTTCACTGTAGAGAGTTGCACTACTACTTACACTCGGTCAATTCATAGTTCACCAACTGTGATAATTTTTTCCTAGGTTACCTGTTGCTGGGCCTCATCGCAATGCTGGTTGTTCTAGAGACTTTCTGTGAACTTCACGAACTCAAAAAATTTAGGAAAATATTCTACGTGAAGAAAAACAAGGAAGAAGACCAAATGCACATTACAGAACATGACCAACTATCCTTCTCTTCAATTTCAGACCAGGCAGCATCCATGAAGGAAGACCAGAAAGTAGATGAGCCTTTTGTGACTCCTCAACCTGCAGTTAACTGTGACAGCTTGATAAACAATTAACCAGGGGCTTCCATTCCAGTATCAACAACAGTGCACTTAACATACTTGCAGTTAGAAGTAGTACTATTAATGTAATTATAGAAGCAGGAATACTATGCTATAATATTCATATATTCATAATGCTTTGGGATCTTTTACAATTTATGGGCCAAATAGAGGTATTTTTGTTGCTGGCTCTACATAGTGGGAATGTTGACTGAAACTAGCGTGCAGTTGAGAACCTCAGGATTCATGATATATATGTAGTATGTAATCCTTGTTCAGTCTCTTTTCCTCTTCCACTCTAAAATCAACAAAATACTTTACTTTTTCACAAAAATCAGATATTCTTATGCCAATTTCATGCATGGTAACAAATCTTTGGAAAGCACTGAGTTAGTAAACCTTCATGCTTTCTACATAAGAGAATATGGTAGCCACAGCAGCCCTTAGAAAATAGGAATAATCTTCCAGATGGCAGTCACTGAGGTATGTGTCAGTGCAATTATTGCTACAGAACCGAAAAGTGAGAACCAAGTTTATTCTATGTCAGGATTCCGGCATGATTTATTAGGAGTGAACATGTCGGCATGACCTGTTTGAATTCTGGGAGTTGAAGTTCACAAGTCTTAAAGTTGCCAGGGTTGGAGACCCCTGTTCTAGATGAAAACTACTAAGCCTGAATGTGATCTCTGGGTGTTTTCCTTCTAGCCTTAAATATAACAAAAGGGTGTTATGCATTGGATTTTAGTGGGTTGTAGGAACAGAGACCCATGAACACCAGCATACAGAACTGAAGGCGTATTAGAGTAGAAAGCCATCTTCCTTAGCATTTTCACCTTCATGTTGGGCTCCTGTTTTAGCAGACTGGCTGTGATTTTCAAACTATTCATAGCCAAGCAATTTTACAGCTAAGATCTTATTTATTCAGTGAAATAATAATCAAGCTGAATATTAAAGTAATGATAAAAAGAGAAAAATACTTGAAAGCTCTTATCACCTAAAAGCACTGTATATGAATTTAATTTTTATTAATAGATTTTGTATCTTTACTAGGGAATTTGACTTTCTTGATAAATCTGCTTCAAAATCTATGTGAACTGAAATTTATTTTTAAGAAACCACAACTCAGAGATGCTTCTTTAATTTGATTTGAAGCTTAGTGTAGTGCATGCGCACCAAAACCGATATTTTTGTACCACTTATGTTAGTTTCGATTGTATAATTCAGCTGTTATTTATGTACATAAATATATTTATATATTGTGTGTATCATGTAGATTGCTAGAAATGAACTGTCAGATTTGAAATTTTAAAGGTTCCTTTCCTCATATATATATTTTTTATGAATCATTCAAACTATGGCACTGAAAATAATGACTTAAATTCTGACCAAATGAATGTGGAAGGATAAGTCATTATGCCTGCAATGTTAACATTCCTGTTTTGTTTTGTTTTATTATGACAGCCTATTCTTATTGGTGACAGTATTTCCAAGTAGCTTGAATGCTACAGCATCCTTCACACTGTACTGTACTACAGAATTCAGATGTTATTGACAGTTGTTGCCTGGAAACAGGTGAAGTTGTATAATTGCACAAGGTTGGTTTTTTTTTTAAGTAAGAGAATATGATAACGCTTAGTTAGAAGAGGAATACTGTAGAAAAAACTGTAGAGATAAGGAACTATTATTCTAACAATTAGTATTTCAGACTTTTAAAATAAATTATGTATGGTTCCAATTCTCTCTCTCTCTCTTTTGACATTCTAATATTTAACTATAATTTTACTTGGCACATGATACACACACACACACACACACACACATACATACATATCTCCACTATTGTTGCCACTACCACTAGCTTCTTCAGGGCACATCTGAAACTGAACTTAGTGACAGACATTCAGTGTCCTATGTTCAATAGAGTGAAATGCAAAATGGTATATTATTATTATCATTAGATCCACAACAATGTGAAATCAGAGACATCAGTTCTTTAGCTAGTGTTGGCCTTCATTCACATCAGGTTTTTCCAAAGAACTTAAGGTGTTGTACTGTAAAGTATTGGCATGGTACATGTGGAGATGCAAGCAACGGACCTTTTGCAGTTGATGAAAACATGGGCAATGCACAGATTTTCCAAGTGTTGTCCAAGATACTTAGTGTTGCCTTGATTGGGACCACCATGGCTGATTTATGCCATAATGTTTTGGTTTCTATTTTCAGACCTTGATGTTTTCATTATGGTTGTTCACACATTCGGTCAGGTGTTTGGACTGGATTTGACATTTTTATCTACCTATTGAGTCCCTCCCAAGATTATCATCATAATTATCATTATTGTTGTTGTAATTCAGAGAAAAAAAGTGGTTAGTAACATTTAAGCTGAAATACATATTTATCACCCATTAGTTAAAACTGATTTCAGGAAGAACTTTCATTAAACATCAAAAGCCTGCCTCAGTAGAAAAGCGCTGCCTTTCAACAAAAGGGCAAGTTCCTGAGGCTCAAAAAACCGAGAACATCCTCATATTCCTACTAAAAGGACCTAGGATTAGGGTGGGGGTTTTAAAACGTATGTTTTCAGAATCTTAAAATCCAGACCATTTTATATATATGGATGCAGTACTTTACATAACATTTTATAGGACACATGAACTGATTTGTGCCTGAAAATGATTCAATAATCTATAAAGCTATAACTTTTCTTGTAACTGGGTCCTAGTTAATAGTTTGGCTATAATATTTGTGACCAATTAAAGTCTCTTAAAAGCTTTTCGTAGGCAGTCCCACATAGCTTGCATTAAAATAATTGAAACAGGAATTTCAACCTGTGAAACTGATCAGGCCTTACACGGGAACAGTTAACACGCTAGCTGGAGCTGGGAAAACATACTACTGACTATAGGTAGTTCTCCATTCATGATGGTAATTAGGCCCCGAATTTCCATGGCTAACTGATGTGGTCATAAATTGTAATGTCACATGGCCTCATTACTTAGTGACAACAATCCCTGCAGTCCCTGTTCCTATCGTTTTGCAAGGTTTGCAGGTCATTAAGGAACCCTGTAGCTTCCAACCATCAAAGTCAACGGGGAAGCCAGAAAGAAGTTCCAGGCAAGCAAGTTGCTGAGATGGTTAGTGGCTTACATCTGGCAGGGGAGGTGTCAAATGTGAAGAATCAGGACTGCACATTAAGTTCCAGTTAAACTGATTTATTGCTCATGCCTATACACAAGAATCTTAACAGTCAGCACTACATTGGCACTCGATAAGCATTATCAGAATTCAAGTGGGAGGCAGGGCTTGGATCACTTGTGGGAATGTAACAATGCTAGGCTGATTCCTCTCTCGACTCTGCCCCCAGGCTCTCCCTCATCTTCACCTACAAGAGAGTATGTGAGGGTGTGCAGGTTGCCAGGGAGCTGCAGCAGGAACACAGCAAAGTTCAGGGATAATGAGCAAATGGCAACGAGGTTTGGATGGGTGACGGTGTGCAAGTGGCTGGAGAGCCATGGTGGTAAAGCTTGGTATGGATGCATGAATGGCTGGGGAGAAGCAGAGAGACTTGGGGTTGCTGCGGCTGGTCGCAGAAGGGTATTCAAAGATGTGGCACAGGGTGGGCATGAGGTGACTGCTGGGCACAGGAGATTTACTTCAGTGATTTGCAATCTTCCCTGATGATTTCCCCGTCACTTTTGCTTGTGAGAAGCCAGCAGGGAAGGCTACAAATTGTTATGATATGACTGGGATGCTGCAAATATCATAAATGTGAGATGGTTGCCAAGTGCCCAGATCACAATCATGTGACTTCAAGGATGCTGAGATGGTTAGAAGAGTCCGGGTTGCACCAAACATCTTCCATTTGAGAATTATGGAGGCCATTGTGCTCTCAGGAACCTTTAGTACTTTGGTGAAATGCTACCGTTTCGGCCCAGTTCAGCCAAACCAGTAGTAAAAAAAAGTTCCCACATCAGCTGAGAGGAGAAAGGAGAGAAAAGCTCAGGATCAGCCCTTCCACCTGCACTTTTTTGTTCTTTATCCTCTCAGCTAATTGGCACGGCAGAGCCTCAGCTGGTGTTTGGAAAGCTGCGCACGTTTAAGTCCGCACGAACACGCAAAGGGCGTGATCACCGAACCGGTAGGGAAACGAGTAGAATCCCACCACTGCTTCAGTACAACAGAAATTTTATTGTAGCTTTCTCCAGATCTGTCCCTTGCAATAATCCTATCTCTTGAGCTCTGCAGGCAGTTCCTTTGACCTCGTGGCTTTTGCTCTGCTATAGCATGCATTGTCAGCTGTGAGGCCTTCTACAGAGAAGTGTGTGCCTTTCCAAATCATGTTCAATCAATTTAATTTACCACAGGTTGACATCAAAGTGTAGAAACGTGTCAGCAACTATCAAGAGAAATGGGAGGCACCAGAGCTAAATTTAGTGTGTTGTTGCAAAGAGTCTGAATACTTATGCCAATGTGATGTTTCAGGTTTTTTTCTTTTTAATACATTTACAGACATTTCTAAAATTCTGTTTTCATGCTGTCATTATGGGGTATTGAGAGTAGATTAACGAGAGAGAAAAATGTATTTCAACAACTGTAGAATCAGGTTGCAGCATAACAAAATGAAGGTGGTGTGAATACTTTCTGAATACACTGTATACTACTGATTTTTTGGTATCAGAGTGAAACTGTAAGGCTGGAAGTTATTGTGAATCTAATTCTTCAAAGAGGAGGGGACATAATCTGCTTTTCTTGCACAAACAATAATTTATATTGTCTGGATTTATTTATAACCAATATCTAACACTCCATTAAAAACTGACATTTTTCTAAGATTTAAGTGGAGAAATTAAATTAGAATTAATCAGTTTACAGGTGACATTTGCCCCAAATGTAATGGCTGGCCACTTCCATTAATCTATGTATTAGGGATAGGTGAGGCAAGGGTGATATATTTGCTTTATCAAAAGCAGTTTACATCACACCTTATGGGTGTTTCCATTTGCTGATCTATTGGAACTGTTAAAACAGCTTGGAACTACTTAAAGTAAAACTGTTACTATTTCTTCACTTTTAGAAGTGTGGTGTGTTGCTTTGTATGCATCTTTGAAGCAGAACCATAGAGTATATATTAAATAAGATGGAGGCATTGAATAAAGACTTTCCCTCAAGCATTACCTTCTGAAATCATTCTTTCAAAAGAATTGGAGTCAGCCATGAACAGGCGGCATTCCAGCTACTGAAAAAAACACAAGACTGTTCATAATAATTCAGAGCTACTTGGTAACAGCAAATATTGCATAATCATACTGAGTTCAAGGAGCCTTCACTTTCCCCCGCCCAAATAGAACTAAACAGAAGTGTTTTTATTTGTCATACTTTCAGTGTAAGTCTATTCATTTCTTTTAATGGAACATCCAAATGAGATTACAGAAAGAAGAAGAAAAGATAACTTCAACTATCTATGAAAAATAGGTATGCAGAGAGCATCATTCAAAGCAAAATTAATTTATGATTAGACAATTGACTTGGTGTGCTTCACGCATCTAAGTAACAGCAACATACTTTTGCCAGGAAAAGCAAAACCTGCAGAAAATAATCATACATTACAAAGAATATTTTTATAATTCTTGCTAAATTGGAAAAATATATTTAATTTCATTCACCTTTTTAAAAAAAATTATCTCATGGTTCCATTAATTAGCAGATTACCGATGTTTGCCCTCTGGTGGCCAGTTGGATGATGATGATGTGTTCTAGCTGCAGTTAGATGTAGGGTAGTTCCCGGGTTAACTCTGGTGGCATTTCTTCCATCTCTGGAATGCTTTGAATTCTTCATATATATGGCAGCTTCTAAGCTTCTAAGCCGTCATGCTCTTTGGTTCGCTTCATGCTTGCCTTTTGCTATCACTCAGTGCCAGACTGCCATGACCTCTAGGGGAACTGGATGGGAGGATTCAAGGAAAGCGAAACATTAACTGTATTTCCCCGAGATGTGAATTCAAGCAATGGAATGTAGTTGCATATCAAAGCGACTGTTCTGAAATAAATTTGATTGGACATGGGGGGGCAGAATGGGGAGGCATCTAAGGGAAGGGAAGTTAGATTTGGAGATTTTGGCATGCAAATTTCAGCTCTGGCTTTGCACTGGTGTATTTCACTTGACCTCTAGTAAACTATATCTTTCTCAACAAATAAATAAAAAAAAGATTGTCTTGAAATTCCAATTTCATGAGCTCAAGTGGATTCATTAGTCCCATCAGGATAACTGGACTGCTGCCCTAGTGCCCAAATGTATGAACCTTGAATCAAAAACTGTGGGGAAGATGGTCACCCTTGCTCTCTTCTAGCCTTGGGCCAGCTACTTCTTGACCATTCATTCTTCTCATTCTTCCTTTCTTTAATACTTCTTTGTATTAATAGGACCAATCTTTTCCCAGAGGGAAGGACGGGACATTTGAGGGAAGGATGGGACATTTGATTATGCATATATATGACATTTCACCCTTATGGCATTGTATATTTTGCAATTGGCCAGCAGTCCATAGGATTGCAGACATGAAATGAGGACAAATACCTTCTTTCTGAGGAAAAAATTAAATGCACAAAAAACATGGACGTGTTTCAACAATTCCCCTTCCCCTAAGTATTGGAAGGGATGGGAGCTAGGAAGCATGCATTTTCTTTGGCTGTGCCCGCCTATGAAACACCTTGGCCCTGAAGTTCAGCAGGCCTCCACCCTTTTAGTCTTCCATAAGGCTTTAAGGGACCTGGCTTTCCCACCAAGTATTAATATTAGATGATCGCATGTTAGAATTGATTGACTTTTGGTTTTTTTAATATTTTCATTGGTTGAATTTTTACAGCCTTAAAACGATTTTATATATCATTTACTTTTTGGCTGGGAGCCGCCCAGAGTTGGTTGAAAGATGGGCTGCTATATAGTGTTTTAAATAAATAAATGAGTAGCTTCTGTAGAAGCTCCTCAGACTAGAAAAAAATGTTTTTAATTTAATTTTCTATTAAAGTATGTGAATTGGTCCCACTACTATCCAGCAAATTAACAATATTTATGTGAAATTTAGATTACTAGCAGTGTCTAAATGTATTTTATTAGTCTCTCCATACTGTAGGTTAAGAGTTCTTTATTTGTCTCTTCCAAAAGAAATTATTGCTACTTTAGAGCAAAGGTATGCTGGCAATTTTAGGGGCCCTCTGACTCAGTTGTATATTTTAGGGAGTTAATTAGTTAAATCTTGTGATGAAATACTGGTCCAAGACATGTTGCCAATTTGTGCTGGAACCATCAGCAAAAAATGTCAAAACAGGACCCCTGAGAAATTACTGTAGACAAGTAGTTAATAATTTTTAAGACTGCCATATCTGCTTCCCTTTAATCAACAACCTTTTCTTATGCAGCTTCACCCCCTGATTTTCTATGCTAAATTTGTTTTCAGGCAAACACATGTACACCATTTGTTTATTGTTTTAAGCAATGAACACAGCTCTTCTACCATACTCTCATGCAGTAGCTGCAACTGTTGACAGATTCCTGGGTAAAGTAACATAAAAGAACTTTCTTCATAGTCAACAAGAGGAGAGAGATTTATGAAGGAAAAGCATGACCTTTTTTTGCAGCCAAAATACACATGCATACAGTGATTGGATTTTGTGGGTAGTGAATGCATGACTTGAAAATCATAAAGCATACAGTGATAAGCATTTGTTACAGCAGAAATTCAGAATGGAGAATTTATCTAGATTTGATAAGCATTGCTCAGTCAAACCCTTTATTTACTGAGCTTGCTAATGTTCTCAAAGTGGTCTAACACAGTGGTCCCCAACCTTTTTTGTACCAGGGACCAGTTTCAAGCAGAAACACTTTTTCAAGGACCGGGGGGGGGGGGGG